AACTTACGCCCTGATGAATCAGGTGCAAAATCAACTAGAGAACCAAATGGATATCCTTGTCGCCGATGGTGCATGCGAGACATTGTGGTGCACAAATGAGCAAATCTGGCCTTGAATTAAGAAGCAAGACGTACTTAGAAGCTTAAAAATAAAAAATCAACTAGCAAGATAAATCTTCTCCAAGTGAAGATATTGTGCATCTTAAGAAGTTAAACATAAATAATTAAAAAAAAAAAAAATTTGTTTTTACCTGCTCCATAAGATTGCGTACAGCTAAGGCGGGACGGGGTAAACCATGAACTGAAGTTGCACTCTGCACCCCGCCAGAAATTGGAGTTCTAAAGAGTCCGGCTCTTGTTCCACCTCCTGCTCCACTTGCAGAAGAGGATGTAAGAGACATATCTACCATTAATGCCTCATCCACATTCTTCTCACTACTATCAAAGTGATTTAAATCACCCTTCAGAAAAAGAAAAACAGAAAACAGAATATGGTCAGAAACAATTATAAAATTAGAGAACTACAAAACAGATATGTGCAGAAAAGACGCGACTAACACTGCAAAACAAACGTGAGAGACCTAATTGTCCATTCTTAAAGTTTTTTCACTGCGTTCTAATTCCACACCAAAGCTATACTACACTTCAAAAACTACCTTGTGCTAAAGAGGCCATTCCTAAGCAACATTAGAGCTTGGGCTAGCTGTTGAAAATCACTTAACCACAAAACAAAGGGTGCAAGTTGGCAAGGGAGGCAATGCTCTATGGTGTCCTGAACTCACCTACTTTCCAAATGTTGTTCTAATGGCTGGAGGCAAGCAATCTAAGGTTTTAAGTTAGATTTTCAGTCCCATTCACAGACAGGCATTGTGAATTGGCTAAATTCGCTTTGTGACTGTCTACCTAGATTCTCTGTTTTTTTTTTTTTGGACCAATCTGCCGTATCAACTATGGTTAGAAGGAATTAGACAATATTCACATCCTGCTCCAGCACCGAGGGGCGTATTTCTAGAAGAGCCCTTGTCGATATAATTGTTGAGCAATGTTTTGTGAAATATCAAGAATAAATCAAAATTTAGCTATCTATGATATCAATGATACTTGACAGAGTCCTTGCTTGATAAAGATTGTTCATTTTTCAGCAAAATCAATATGTGAGTTCCAATATATATGTGAATTGGCAATATGGGGAGTACACCAATCACTTATAAGCACATCCAAGGTCCCAACTTTTCCCGATGTGAGATTCCCTCTCAACACACCCCCTCACTTGTGGTAAAATTTTCAAGCCTAGCACGTGGACAACACAAATCGAGTGACGTATGGCCGTTAGACTTCACACGTTGGACAATACCATGTAGAAATATGAGACCTTGAATTAATAATTTACAATCGGTTTGACATAACCTGGACGGAATCCTAAAATAAAATAAATACAATTAACACATTACACTCCTAAAATTACAGAGAGGATTCCGGGTTAATTAATTCTATTCTAACAAATTCTTCGCTTTTTCTTCGATCACAAAAGTTTACAAGTCTTACGAATCAAAAACCAAACCAATATGAACAGCACTCCAATTTCCACTTCCCACAACAACTTAACAACAAAATACGAGTTAATCAAAAGTTTAAATTAATAAATAAACACTCACACACAGAGTCACACACAATTGCTGGGAACTTTGCAAAATTAACATACAAACAAAATATGTAGAGAAAGATGCAAAGGCAGATACCTGAGAGAGAGAGTGTGTGTCTTCAGAAAGCAAGCCGAACCCATTATTCAGATTCCTCAGCTCTTCACTTTCGCCGGAGCCAGAGGCCTCCCCGGAGAGAGCTCGAACCCGAATCCCCGCAAAACGACAACTTTGACCGACTTTCAGAAATCCACTTCGATTATTCGGCGTTTTGATTGAAGTGGGGTTGTTTAGAACTGGGTGCGCCTCCGGGACGAAGGCAGAGCTTGTGAGGGCTTCCATGGGAATTACAGAGACAGGAAGAGGGTAGATTTTACGGAGGCGAAAATTGAGCGAGAGATTTTGGGGTTTAGAGATGGTGATCGTATTGGGTTTGTGTTCTGTGTGCCCCCAAAATCTGTGTTTTTTGTGCGTTTTTAGAAGTGGCATGCAATGGAGGAAAGTGACCTAAAATCAAATAAAGCCCAACCATGAATAATTTTATAAGAATCTTAATAAAAAGTTATATAATTAGTAATTTAATGATAAGGGGATTATGTGTTGGTGTTGGATTTGAATTGTACCAATTGTTTATCATTTGTGAAAGGTATTTTCTTTTTCTTCTTTTTTTAACAAACAGTTTTCTACTTATAATATGACTCAAATTCGTTTTAAGAAGGTGTATTCAATTAGGATTTTAAATGATTTTAATTCTTGTAATGAATCTAGGGGTATTCAATCAGAATTTTAAGTGATTCTCTGAAATTCAATGTGTATTCAATCAGAATTTTAAGATAGTTTATTAAAATCTTTAGAAATCTAGGTGTATTCAATTAAGATTTGAAGAAGTTTATAACATTTCAGGTGTATTCAATTAGAATTTGATTTTAAAGAATTTCAAAAGGTTGAGGAATTAGAGGGAATCGGATAGATTTTGTAGTGTATTTTAAACATCCACAAATCTCCCATCTCTCCATGAGATTTCGAGAGAATTGAATCATAATTTTATATGGAATCTCTACAAATCAATTAAACTCCATAAAAATTCATAGATTTATAAATCCATTAAAATCTATTCAATTCTCAATTGAATATACCCCCTAGTGAGAATCAAACATAATATTTCACTTACCAGTAAAAGGAACAACACTAGATAGTATTCATCCAACCACAATTAATTGCCTATAATCTAAGAAATTAATTTTGTAAAATTCATTTAATCTCTTCCTACAATAAAGGTCAAGAAACACATTTAATAGATAAGTTTTAACTAAAGGGGATTTTATTTTTATTTTGATGCGATCTAGAAAATTAATCCCTTCGAACACAATTACACAATTAAAATTTTCAGTAATCAAAAACTCAAAAGTACCATAAACGTAGTAACTTTGTGGTACCTTTAAAGCTCAAATGTCCCATAAACGTACTAGAAAGTATATACTACTAAAACTCAAATGTACTCATATTATACAAAACGAAATATGTACTCATGTTATACAAAACAAAATGTCAAGCAGGCCTTGAGTTTTCAAATGCTTTTAGCGAAATTTCAACTGGTGACCTTTGTAGATTGTAGATTGATTAATAGACATTATTCTTTTACAAACTAATTAATATTATTAACAATGATAAAATATCAGGATTATAAAATAATATATGTGGACTAAAAAAGAATTACAGCCGAAGGGGGATAGGACCTATGCGATCAAGAGAGTACAGTTGAATACATAAACGATGCCAAGATTAAAAGTCAAAATAAATTATTTACCCGATAAAATAAAGGGATTGGGGAGCGATAGATTGAGAGATGAATAACTTATAACACTTTAAACCTAGCAGAATATACTTTGTTTAAATGTTGAATTTATGGGTTTATTAGTCCTTGTGTTGTTTGTAATGAATAGCTAAGATTATAACTAACTCATAGGCTATATGAATGACACCTGTTATAGCAGCTATGTGTCTTAAGTTGTACACATGAGTTGAGTCATGTAGTAGGCATGTGTGGGTTTACTATGTTCATTTTGCTCATTCCTATTTGTTGAGAGACTGAATTCAAGAAGTGCGGCGTACTCTATCTTCTCTCTTCATTCATCAACTAAATCAATTATCATTGATTTTGAGTTTTCAATTTATAAATGAAAGCCTAATTATTATAGGATATGCCAGTCCAACTTACAACGCAGTGAAGAGTGTGCAATCTCCTTTAGATTGTTGCCAATTTGCTAATCCAAGATCACCTACACCAAATGGAGGACATTTTAATTCCTTCAAACTGCTTCTATAAAAACTAAATTAAGTGGGAGGATCCTTGCCAATGTGACAACGAAACAACAAAGAAGAATACTCTTTGTCTATCACTCTCCCAGTCTCTCCCTCATGCTCGTCTTGATTTGTCGATCACTCTTTATCTGCATTTTCCAATTTACGTCTTTTCAGCTGGATTTGAATTTAAGAAACGGGGATTGCGTTGCGTGACTTCTCGAGAGGCAAGGGTTCTTCGATTTGTCAACAACGCCATGGTGCAGGTTTCTCTTGAGAGTTCTTCTGTTAATTTTGCGCAAAGGTTGAGCAGTTACTTGTCTGGAAAGCAATCTTATTGAGTCCTTTTGTTACAATCTTTTCACCAAGGATTTGCTGGTTTCATATGAAAGTGAGATTTGATGCAACCGGGTCGGGTGCATTTTGACCTGCCCACGTAATGGGCTTCGCAAGGATAAGTGGTCTATGAAGAATTGGGTCACTACAAAAACTGAAACTTGATTGGCCCAAAACTACTGGCCCTATCATATGGAAACTTTTTTAACTCGTATTTTTTCAAAGTTTCTTGTTATTGGCATTCTAGAAGAGTCTATGATACTTTAGATTTGTAAAAATAAAAGGCATTTTGTACAAGAAAGCGTGAGGGACGACAATTTTAGAGTGCCGATGACAGCATCATTCCAGAAAAATAAAAATTAGTCAAACAAAATTTTTTTATGAAATCCAAGTGAAGAGGAAGCTAAGAAGGTGAGCATCCCCTGTATTTTTTATTCAGACGCAATGACATGGTTTAGTTTTTCAAAAACTTGCATTTCAAAGTTTTCAACCAACGACAAAAAGTTTAGTGTTACAAAAGTGGCACAATAAAAGTGATTACAATTAAAATGATTACAATAAAAGAACACCTTAACCAGTATAAAAAAAGTCACCTATCAACTCTCTCTCTCTCTCTTTTTTTCTCGAAGTCCCTTTCGAAAGGCCTGCCATAATGGACAATTCGTTTCCTTGCGTTGAACGTATTCCAACTTTGACAATATTTCTCATTGTTTTCTTCAAAACCAATCTCCCCAACCTCTCGCCTTGTTTCCACAGCTGCCTTTGTCACTTGTTTTGGTCCAAGATTCCCATGAACCCTTCACCAAACTCAACCTTTTCCTTCAAGTTCATGGATGCATTTTTACTTTTCTCAAGAGCACTAAAGCTTTTATCCAAGTTTTCGGATTCGAATGGTTTCTCTTCTTCATCCGAGCGATAGTCTTATCTAATCTAAATTGCAGAGAGGAAGATTAGAACTTTAGTGTAGAGAGAAACCGTAATTTAGTCAACTTGGCTACGCTCAGGTCTGCAAATTTCAATGGTTCTAAAGCTTCCCCCAATGAGAACACCAAACACTTCTTCGTGGTGTTTTGGTTATCGTCTATGGATCCTAGCACTTTCGGTTACTTTAGTCCTGCTGGGAGCAATTTCAAGATCATCTCACAATGTGTTTTCCGGATATGGCAACAAAAACCAACTCTCAATGAGAGCGCCACTAAAAGGGAATGGCAACCCCCCAATCTTTGCTTATTGGATATGTGGAACTAAAGGAGAAAGTGAGAAGATTTTGAGGCTTTTGAAGGCAATATATCATCCAAGAAATCATTATTTGCTGCAGCTTGATTCGGGTTCATCGGATTATGATAGAGGGCAGCTAGCTCTCTCTGTTCAATCCGAAAGAGTTTTTCAATCTTTCGGAAATGTTTATGTTGTTGGGAAAAGTTACGCTCTCAACCAGATGGGGTCTTCTGCTCTTGCTGCCACACTTAATGCTGCAGCATTGCTTCTAAAGCTCAGTGCAGATTGGGACTGGTTCATCACTTTAAGTGCTTCTGACTATCCACTCATGAATCAGGATGGTGAGTGCTTTCACATCAAAAGCACTTAAATCATTGGCAAACTCACTTAATGCTGAAAATCACTTAAATCTGACTACTTAAATATCTATAATGACAGGAATATTTTTTTTTTTCGGGTTTTAGTATCCTAACGGTCATTCTGATAACTATTTCGTTTTTAGTTTCGATAGAATACATGTATACTTGGCAACTTTATGACTTTAGTTTGTATAACCATCTTGATTAACTGATTAATTTGATTTACTGACTAGAAATTTGTTAAACTTTTTGTGTTCATCAGATCTGCTCCATGCTTTCACTTCATTGCCAAGGAATACCAATTTTATTCATTTTACAAACAAGACTGGCTGGAAAGAGTAAGAAAAATACCTTTTTATCCATTTTTAGTTTCTCTTGTATATTTTTCTGCAAAGAAATTAGGCACCTTGAGTTTTTCACTCACCATTTACCATGGCCTGAGTTTTCTAAGTGGAAGTTGGTTTTCTGCAGGCATATGGATCGAATCGTTGACGATCCTAGCTTATACCTTCAACATGTTGCTCCTCTTTTGTATATTGTAGAGAACAGAACCATGCCAGATGCTTTCAAAATCTTTGGAGGTAAGTTGTTCTTAAAGAATTTCAACTGATTTTGTTTCAACGAGAAACTTGTGAGCTGACAGTCACACTGACATGTAGTGTTACTGAAAACCTCTCGTATTCAACATGTTATGCGATTAGAATAGCTGCAAGTTGGCGAAATTCTAAGTTTCATTATAATTTTGTGAAATATATAGGTTCACCCTGGACGATTTTAACCCGAGATTTCCTGAACTACTGTGTCAAAGGATGGGATAACTTTCCCAGGAAGCTACTGATGTACCTCAGCAATGTGCCCTACCCTCTTGAATCCTACTTTCACACAATCATCTGCAGCTCACCTGAGTTCCAAAACTCTTTAGTGAACAATGACCTAAGGTACATTATTTGGGACACAAACGCGCTTGGAGAAGCGCAAGTCCTAAACATATCACACTACGATCAAATGCTGGCAAGTGGAGCAGCCTTTGCAAGACCGTTTCGAGCAGATGATGATCCGGTGCTAAAAAAGATCGATGAGAGTGTCCTGAATCGGACTTCAGGAGGGTTGGTTCCGGGCGAATGGTGCCCCGGGATAGGGAGAAGTAAGAGCCTGGAGAACTCAGCAGCTGGTCTGGAAGAGTTGTGTCCAAGTTGGGGCAACATTAACCATGTCACGCCGGGTCCTCGCGGCGTTAGTCTCCGAGAATTTTTGCCTAAGCTTGCTGTAGAAGGAAGATTTACAATCAGTCACTGCCAAGAACAGTGATATTCTTCCAAGCTTGGATTAGGAACTTTTCAGAATTTTGTTAACAAATAATACTTCAAACTACGTTTGAGCAGACGGCTTGGATTTCTGCTTGAACTAAGCATGTACGGTTAGTGAAACAGGAAGATTAGTTCTGCATTATCTCCCCCAATGCGTTTGATGACAAATTTTGTTTGGATCTTCCAAATTCCAAACTTTTTCAGCTTGAATTTGAACAGGCTATGAAACTCGCAAGCTGATAACCATTTTTTTTTAGATACAATGATATTAGAGGCGGAGATTGAGTTAAGTCCCACAACAAGCGAACAATAATTTGATATTGAACTCTCATTCACAAAAGTCGAATCTTATCTCACTTACAAGTGAAAAAAATAACATTTGATTGTATTAACATCTAAAATTTCCATCTCTTCTATTATTTGAAATCATTTAACCATGTGCAAATGTAGATGGCTAGACAATGTGCCCGCCCCGTTCAAATTTCTCTCCTCCTAAACCCTAGGTTATAATAATTAGATCCTCCTAAACCCTAGGTTATAATAATTAGATGATCTTCTGTGCCATAGAAAAAAATCATTTTACTATGTACTAAAATGCTCACAATACATACATATATAATTATGGAAGCGAATTTAACGTCATATTTTATCTAATATTGACACATATTTTTATGAAACTCATTCTGTAATGTTTTAACGATCTAATGCATTTCTTCTCTCTCTCTCTCTTCTTGCCAAGAAAAAGCCCTACAATCTCATAGGCCATGGATGCAGAAAACAATTGATCTCCAGCCAACCAAAGATGGGATTCAGGGTCGGCAAGGCATCTTTACACAGACCTAATTGTCTAGACAGATAATTATTAATTATACACGAGGCTTGTACAAAGACGGAAATGTGTCCAATCCGTGGCAGTGACAATCATTAATTACCACCAATTAAGAATCATGCTTGAAAATAATCCTCCCACTAATCTCTCTTTTCATTGGATTCTTGCAACTACTTCTGACTGCAGCCACATATATGCCTAACTTATTGAATGTTTCTTTCTCCTCCTCCACCAAACCCTTCTCAGTGCCTCAGAAATCAAAATCAACACGTTTAGTCCTCAATTTGTCGAGGCCCATGTAATTGCACTCTACCCTCTATGCTTGTATGTATTCCGAATTTCAATGAATAAATATTGTACTTGATCTTAAAAAGATATCTGATTTATTTTGTGGACCCTATCTTTGTATAGAATGACTCACGTGGAACCTATGTTGGTTTTTTTTGTTTCTTTTAAAAAGGAGATCAGCTGGTGACTTTGTCTCGACAATCTACCTTTTCAGGGGTCGGAAAGGCTCACAGAGGCACTTTAACCTCTCCCTGACCATCATCGCAAGGTTCGCCAACATTAAGAATCGAACCGAGAACATGCTGTGTGGAATGCGAGTTTGAAATTCGCTTCTTAACCATTAGATCATCCTGTGATGATTTTGTCACTATGTTGTTTAAGTAAAATGATATAATGTTATTTGTAAATTTTTTTCTGCGTGACATTGCATTGTTGAACCGACAGGTGGTCCTGCAATTGTTCTACTGTTTGTACTGAATATACCAACTTATTTATGAATTCCATCGTATTTCATCTAACTTGCCTATTTAGTATTCCTCTTCCTTCTGGTTGCTTTTACGTACTGAGACCTGGCAATTTTACTACCACACTATCTAAAAAGCACTCTCTCAATATTTTGAAGTTTACTTGGTCAGATGAGCAAGTTAACTTGATGAGTGGTAGCTTTGAACACAAGTGTCGAGTGTAATTTAAGAAAATGTCAGCAAATGTGAACCCACCACACACATGCATCTTATAATTATGTGGTGACTGGTAACACATCCTAATATCTTGTACCACATATGATAATACGGTTCTGCGAGAAACGTATTTTTTTATAGCAACAAATGCTAAAAATACCAATTGAGAAGACAAAAGTTTGGTTGCATATCATCCATCAGGAGACTAATTTTGAGGCGGATGCGTGTAACTCTTTTTCTTACTTATGTTGTTTGGTTGCAAATCCTCCCTAATGATGTATCAATGTGGTTATGAAACATTGTAGTTTGAACTTCTCGAGAGGATTTTCTTTATAACCTTTTACTTTTGTATTAAACTGAAGAGAAATTAAACTTAGTTGCATATTTTGATGAGAGAGATAATTAAGGGTTAATTAATAATATGAAAAACATATGTCCATGAAATTTGAGATCTAACAAAATAAAGGGACTTAATTTTACTAGACTAAATCATTATTTGCGGAATCCCATCATTTTAGTAACATGGATCTTTCTTTGAATAGCGTGGCGCTAATTTTCGAATGAGGATCATCTTCGGATACTTTTGAGAGGATCCAAAGATCCTTCAATTACATCTGTTTATTATATATTATGAGATTAATTTTGATGAAGTACTGTTTATATTTAATTTTAAATAAAAAATTTACAATAATTTATAATCACACGATATACGATATACAATGAACAAATGTAATTAAAAAATCTCTAGGATCTTCATCATTCCTAATTTTCTGCTCTCACATATCAAAATGTGGACAAGAGGTCACTTTAAGAGGGTGTCGTGAATATAAGCTAAAATCCTCTATCATAAGACTTTGAGCCCTAGCGATATTAGGGCATTAATAGCCATAAAATGTTCAAGAATTAAAACACTAAGAAGAACCAAAATTAGTGATGAAAATGTGACCAAGATCGATCGATTTTCAAGAATTTCTGGTTGTGATCTAATGAAAACCAATCGACATTACAAAGTTAATTTAATCATTTTCCCCACAGCTGGAGCCTAACTAAATGTTCTACGGACTAGTTAATCACTATCATAATTGACACCGGAGTTCACACGCGTACGCATGCCGCACGTGCGAAAGGACTCCACACGCTTTCAAGTCTCAACACTCCGCCCAGCCTTCCTCCAGATCGTCCCGCCGTGCGCACCTAACTCTCAGCTCGCTCCCGAGCTTAGCTTCGACGGCCAAGATCAGCTTAACCGGCACTCCGGAGAGCTCCTCCACCCGTCTCAAATTCTGACACGTAAAAACCGACCTGTCCCCACAGAATCTCAACCCGAACCAAAACGACGCCGCGAGGCACACTCTCGGAGGCACACTCGCCAACCGCTCCAGGCAAAATCCAAACGCATTTGACGCGGTCGCAACCACCGCAGCCGCCAAATTACCATTCACCCCAAGCTTCTTAAACCAATTTACGAAACTGCCCTCCGCTTTCGCATCCACGCTCCTCGAAGTTCGCGCTCGCACCCTCCGTACGCTATTATTCCTCCTGGCGCCGGAGAATTTGGGCACGATATTCCTCTTCATGCCTGAGAATTTGTACGGAACATTCGAACCGGAAACATCCGTCACGGAGCTCTCGGATTTCCGATTCTCATACCCGGTCTTTGTGGTCCCCATTTCTGTGCTGGAGATGCAGGCGGAACAATCCGACGACGAAGACGACTTGGCGTCGCCGTCGCAGTCACCGGGAAAATTTTCAGGCGAGCAGGAGGAGCAGAGAGAGTGGAGATCAGGGGGTTCCTGCAACAGATTTGTAGTTGGAGCAGAGAGGCTGGCGGAGGTGGCGGGCGACGAGGAAGTTGGCCTGGTGGACGCGGGCGTCGCAGCGGGAGCAGAGGAAGGCGGAGTCGGAAGGGCAGTAGAAAGAGGCTTCCTGGTCGCAGAGCTCGCAAGACCTGTAAACTTTCTTCATTTCTCTATTTCCTGCGGAGCGAAGAAGAGGAATCGAAGTCTCGAGACGATTTGGGAGTTTGGGAGGAGTTTGGGAGAGTTGGTGCGGTGAGAGGATATGTGGGTGTGGCGAGGGGGATTTATATGGAGAGAAAGGCGGTGTGGAGTGGAGGAATGAAATGGTGTGGGGAGTGACAGAGAGGTTAGAAAGAGAGAGAGAGAGAGAGAGAGAGAGAGAGAGATTTTTTTATTTTTATTTATAATTTTATGGTTGGAATCGTAGGGAGTGTTTGAGTGGAGGAAGAAAAGTTATGGAGGAGAAGGAATGATGAGAGGAGGGAGAGGGAGAGGAAGAGAAATAAGTGTGCGTGAGTTCATGTCTGTATTCTGCCTTCCAAGACTTCTCCTCTAACACACAACTCAGTCTCTGTCCACATAATCCTCGTTTCCCTCGAAATTTGCCCACTTATGCTCCTATCTCATGTATTCCATGTATTCCAACCTTTCACTCCTCTTACTTTTCATTATTGCATTTCTGTCCCCTTCTAATTACATTTTTTTTTTTCTTCACAAAACCTCATATTAATTGAATCGCTTTTCATTATCAAATGGTGAAGCTAAAAAAATTCTGAGGTTTAAAAGATAAGGCTCATACAGAAACTTTCTTTTTATCGATTATAATTATAACATGTTTGTCCCATTGATTTTCAATTTCAAATTCTTTAAGTAACACGGTTACCATTTTCAAACTTCTCACCAAACTCGCATGGTCTTTAAATTCAAGAATATTGCTCGTTCTTCGTACTCTGAATTTCATTGTGTAGAGAAATGCCCTAAAAAACTAATTGCATTAGAAAGGAATCAAAACTTGATTTCAGTTGCAATATTTTATGCATATGATCACTATATGTTTGTAATATTTCTCCATTTATAAGGACATCATTTTCTTATTAAAACATATTAAGAAAAACTAAACATTGTGGCACTATTGCATATGACGTTTTACCGCATTACAGAACACGATAATTTTTATGTGTTACGGTGCGAGTTTGATTCTTACTCTTTCATTCTAACAATTAACTATTTAATTCACTAACATTAACTCTCTACTAAAAAAATAGGGCAAAATACTGTTTACTATCCTCATCTTTCGTGGTTTTCAACATTTAGTACATCAAGTTTTTTTTCGTCCCACAGTCATACCTAAAATGCAAATTTTAGGACAATCTCATACATCCGTTAGTCAAATTATTAAGTCTTCCGTTAACTGTGACATGGCGCCCATGTGGACAATGACTGGCTCCACATGTCATCCACGTGGAAATTTTAAAAATTAAAAAATAATTAATTAAATAAAAGTAATAAAAAAAATCCCTAGATCCCCTTTGTCTTCCCCACCCCGACTCCCCTCCCTTCTTCTTCTGCACCTCTGTACATCCATCATTCCCCCTCCCTCAAACTCAAACTCTGAAACATAGAATCCATGGAAGATCGGAGATTCCTGCGTTTTTTCTCCTTTTCCCTCTGCATAGGCCTAGTCCTCCTCTTCACTTGGTCCCACCTCCCTTACGCGCCGCCCGTACGTCTCTGACCTCCTCAACTGCACAACAAACTCCACCTAGTGCTCCTCCAAAAACCGCATCTAATACAAACCCCCTATCCCAACGCCCCGCCTCAAAGACCACATCTCCGACACCCCCCACCACCTTCTCGACCCCCTCACCATCCAAGAACTCAACGTCGTCCACACCATCCTCAACTCCCACGCGCTCTACTCCGTCAAGCTGCGGGAACCTGACAAGTCCCTCGTCCTCGGATGGAAGCACGACAACCCTCTCTTCCACAGAAAGGCCTATATTGTCGCACGTGTCACATCAAGTCGCTCGGGGTGGGGGATCGAGGTGGGGAAGACAAAGGGGATCTGGAGAAGGATGGATGTGCAGAGGGGACTAGGGGAATTTTTTTTTAACTTTTATTTAACTAACTATTTTAATTGTTTATTTATTTATTTTTTTTTAATGACATGTGATGTCCAATCATTGTTTACGTGGGCACCACGTCACCAGTTAACGGAAGACTTAACCGTCAGACTAACGGATGTATGAGAATGTCCCAAAATTAACACTTTAGGTATAACTTTGGGACGAAAAAAACTTCATGCATTAAATGTTGAAAATCATGAGGGTAATAAATAGAGTTTAACCCTAAAAAATATTGTGGCATTATTTGGTGTTGAGGGTGAATTCAGTAAAACGATAATAAAAAGGGGGTAAAATAGTGAAGAAAAATTCTTTGGCCTTTGTAATATTAAATAATAAATTTGAGATACCCTGAAAAAATATCTGGCTGCTACCAACTGTGGTGCGAAGTGGGGCCTCCAACAGCAACTAATTCTCCACCAGAAGTTTGAGCGGCATTTTGAAGAATCACCACGTGTCACTATTTGACTACGTCATCATCCTTGTAAATCACAACCTCCAAACACCTTGCAAAATTTTGGAACTTCTTTTGCATGATAAACTTTAGACAGTTTCACTTAAAAACTCAAAGGAATTTTAACGTTCAAATAAATAACCTTTTTTTTTTCTTTTATATTTTAAGTAGAAATTAAATTTAAAAAAAAAAATGCCAAAACCCTGAGAAGTCGAAGGGGAAGACATTTCTAGCCATACAAGGCAAGATTCTCTTCTGGATATTAGCAGCCTAAATCGAGTGCTCAACTTAATAATTCTAATGGAGCGGGTAATATTTTAAAATATTCTGATGGAAAATGAGTTGTGAAGTGTCCATAACCGATAGAGTTACAGGTCTCACAACACAAAATATCTAAAGCATGCATCTAGATGATGGCATGTTAGTAGAAATAGTGGCATTGAAAAAAAAAGAGTCAAAATTAGAAAATAAATTATCTAAAACTACATTAATGAAACCTTCTTTGTCAAGTAAAAGAATGTGAAAAAAATATTTAGTCTTCTATCACACAAAAAAAATGATGTGCAATAATATAATTTCATAGATCTAAATTTTACTGTTTTTATTGAAAACTCATCTACAACTAATGTTAAAATATCTCCAATATTTAAAATAAATAAATAAATAAACCAAAAACAAAAATCTTCCACTCCCCTCCCAAGTTCTCTCTCTCCCTTTCTCCTTCCTATTTTTCTAAAAAAATTGTGTTCATACACATAAAGTATCTAGGCAAAAACTAGTTTCTAATAAATTGAATTGCATGAGCTATAATTTATCATTTTTTTATTTATATAAGGTAAATTTGGCTAATTACTTTCGCTTGAATTTCTAGTCATGAGAAGCATCGTTACAATGTTCAATCGAATCAAAAAATAAATTTTTGTACTTATTATTTGACATTTAACGTAAATTTCTTTTTTTACGGTAATGGAAAAATCTCTTACTTACAAAGAAAAACAATTTGAGATATTTTCTGATGCACGTAAGTATTTTTTGTGACACAATTTTGAAAAATCAAAAGAAAAGTATTATAAAATGTAAAAAATTATTCGTTCAGCAAGTTTATGAAGATATTTTGTAGTGGATAAAATTAGAAGCGTCCATTGTTCTGTTTATGTTTTGAAAGAGAGAAGACGGTGGTGGGGTCACGGCGGAGGTGTTTCATGGCCTTCATAACGCTCGTCGTGAAGTGTGACCATACTGTTTCGACGCGTGGCAAACTCTCAGCAGACAGTTACTTTTCAATCCAATTTCAACCACACAAAACAAACCATTGCACCTGCGCAAGAAATTAAAAAAATGGGTTTAAAAAGTTGAATCAGGCAGCGGCCCAGCAGATGAGCGCCACGCGTGCGGCGAAAGCTGACGGCTGACGTACAACCACGCGGTGGAGAAGAAAACTTTTTATTATAATCGAAACACGGATGATACATTATGTGTTTTTATAAGTGATGAAAAATTTTATTTTTTAAAGTATTAATTTTTTAATATATATTTTATTATTTATATAGTAACATATGATGTATCATTCAGATCGAAAAATCTCTTGCGGTGGGAAGCGAGGAACCGGTGGTTGTCCGCAAGTTTGGCGTGATTTGGAATGCGAATGATTCGTCGGTGGGACCGACATGTGGAGCTATCTTTTTCTCCTTTTTTTTGTAACTCAAATTTTTATCAATCGAGAGGTTATTGTGTGCACAAAATCAATGGTACAAAAAGCAATTGCATGAGAGGTTCCTTTTAGAGAAAGGTATCAATCTCCTTTTTGAAATGTGAGATTTTTTTTGAGGAGTTTTGGGCAATGAGAACCACACAAATTTTATGTGTTGATTGTTTGTGAATTACACAGGAGGTAGTGTATGAGTGCGTTTGTTTGCAGTCACTAGCATTTATTATATTGGACTGGATTAAGTAGTAATTTAGTCTTGTGTTTGATACAAACCAGGACAAGCTTTAATGAGACTTATTTCGACTAAACAGGACTAAGCACTTTGCTAAAGGGTCTTAGTGAGACCCCCCAATATCGGCCAGACTACTACGCCAACTCCTCCCTACTTCGTCCCTCCTCGCTTTGCCCCTCCCATCTACTTGTCCCTCGCCAGATTCGGAACCTAGGTCCCATATCTAAACTATGCCCTACTTCGCCCCTTTCATTTACCATTTCCAAATCCAGATCCTGCAAAATTCGAAGCAAAATAGGCAAAAATTTCTGCAATATTTCCACTTTCAAAACCAGATCAAAATCCAAAATTCTAAACAAAAAAAGCCAATTTTTTTTTTTTTTTACAAAAATCGTTGTGCGTCTAAAACTCACAACAGTCACTCTAATCACACTACATCTAGTCCAGACTCCCTGATCGCAAACCTTTGCCATTGATGCTGAAAAAGCAGACCCATGAATACCCAGATGACTTAGACTCTGATTTGGGTTCAGATCCTCCAATTGTATTCTAGAAAAATTAGGAAGAAAACAGGAAGATGAACAGATAGAAATACGAGAAAAAGATGGAGATGAAGAGGGAGATGGAAGAATAAAAATTTGGAAGAAACAGAGGGAGAGGGACGGAGCAAAATAAGGAAGAAAATGGGGGATTAGCGGAACAGAATTGGGAATAGAGATTGGAGGTTTCTAGAATGAAAAAAACCAGACAGTAGTTGTGATATCCCACATCGCCCAGGGGAGTGATCCTTATATTTATATTCTCATCCCTACCTAGCATGAGGCCTTTTGGGAGCTCACTGGCTTCGGGTTCCATGAGAACTCCGAAGTTAAGCGAGTAGTGCGCGAGAGCAATCCATGATGGGTAACCCACTGGGAAGTTGCTCGTGAGTTCTCAAAAACAAAATCGTAAGGGAATGGTAAGCCCAAAGCGAACAATATCGTGCTACTATGGTGGAGCGGACCCGAGAAGTGATCTGTCCTGGATGGGGATGTGACAGTAGTAGTAATAAAATATGTATTAAA